GGAGAGAGAAGGAAGTGTGTTGGCCCAGGCTGATCGGGACAGGCTCCGGCAGAGGCCTCCTTCAGCTTTGGAGCCAGAGTATCTCCAAGTGCTGAGACTGTGTGACCTCAGGCAGGTCACACGGCCCCTGTGAGTCCCAGTCTCCAGTCACACGTGATACCTCTTAGCCTGAGACATCCATCCCCTGCTCAAACACAACCCACAGCTCCCACAGTCCTGCGGTCCAGACCCAACGCCAGGTCCTTTGCTGTTAAGGGGTGGCCTCCCAGGTGGTCCCCCCTCCTGCCCAAGTCCCTCTCCTGAGGACCTGCTCCTCGTCTCCTGCTCACTTCTTCTTCCATCTGACCCCTATCCACTTGTCACACTCAGGTCCCCAGGTGACAGGAGAGGGAAATCCCGCTCACACCACCATGGAGTGGGGACAAGTGCCAGCTCCCACCCGCCCCTCCCCACCTCAGCCGTCTCTGTTCCTCCTCTTTCTGGAAGCCATGGCGGCTTCTGCAAGTGACCTAAGGGGGGAGCCATCTCCAGGGGACCACGAGGGAAGCAGGAAAGGGCGGAGAAGAACACAGGTGGCCTGGTCCCACGGCAGCGCTGGGCCACAGACGGCACCCCGGCCTTGTCCCTTTGGCCAACGTTATGCTCAGGAAACAGGGACAGCTGGGCGGCTCCGGCGGCCATCACTTACAGGTGCTGTCAGTAAGGGGCGCTGGCCAGGGCGTGGGCAGCCATTAGCGAGGTGGCAGGTTCTCAGCTGTAGGAGCCACCAGCTCAGAGTTCTCTCCACAGCCTCTGATAGTCAACGCCAAGAAAGACGCTTGGCGATGGTACCTCCAGACCACCCATGGTGACCCGAGCAGGAAAAGGTGCCAGGGCTCCTAGTTGGCTCCAAGATGGCGCCCACAGCCATCAGACACCCACCCACCCCAGGGCCAGATCATCTGTGCCTCCCCAATGCTTCACCCCCGACAGCTGTGACATGGGAACTCCCGTCTTCTTTTGTACCAGTTTTGTCCCAGGCTGCCTGTGTGCACTCAGTTTCAGCAGAGATCTCCAAATGGGGGGTACTGAGCCTCGGTACCCCCAGCCTGTCCCTCACGGGGTGCTTGAGGCATTTTCCAACATGTGCTGATGATAAAGCTCAGCGCCCAGGTCAGAGAGCCCAGTAACCTATACTTCCCTCAGGCCAATTTTTTAAAAGGCCTGTGGTGCTTACAACCCATTAGAAAAGACACAGGAAAAGTCCATGTAAGAATTTGCCTTGAGCCAGGGGCAGTGGCACCCGCCTGTAATCCCAGCAGCTCAGGAGGCTGAGGCAGGAGGATCTCAAGTTCAAAGTCAGTCTCAGCAATTTAGCAAGGCCTGAAGCAATTCAGTGAGACCCTGTCTCTAAATAAATTAAAAAGGGCTGGGGATGTGGCTCAGTGATTGGGTACCCCTGGGTTCATTCCTCAGTACCAAAAAAGTACCAGAACCTCTACCCACTTAGAGCCCACTCAGCCAGATTCTGCCTCTCGGCTCTTTCTGAAGATCCAAGTGTTTTTACATCACATGAACAATGTCATGCCCCTCCAGGCCAGAGAGGACAATGTCCTTACCTTGGTTAATCGCAGGGATGTCCTTGTCCCAGGACACCTGGGTCCCTTCAGAGGTGAGGCCTTCTGGGACCCCGGTGTCACAGGCTCCTGGACATCTGGAGGCTAAGGATGCTCCAAGGATCCAACCTGGTCCAGTTGAAGGGATGCAAATACTTAGCTGCCCAGAGTGCCCCATGAGTGAGGCAGAAGGGGTGACACGGGGTGACTATGGGGTGCCAAACTGTAAGACCCAGCCCTTCATGAAGGATAGACCCCTTGTAGGAGTTGAGTATCACCTGGCCTCCCCACTCAGCCCCAATGGTGACAAGGCCTAGCCAACTTCAAGGAGGGAGGTCCCTTCCAGGACCAACACTTGGCTTAAAAATGCATGAGCTGCTATGTGGCAGAAGATGGCGGCAGGAGTGGGGCAGAACCGGGGCTCAGCTGCTAAGGACAGCGGCAGGGGCAGGGCTAGCCTCAGACCTGCTCTTCGGCTCCTTTTGTCAGCCCAGGCTTTTGGAAAATGGGCTCAGCATGGGTGACTCTTGCCCTGGCCAGGCTAGAGGGGGGACCCCCACCCCAAAACAAGTAGGTCTGTCTGCTGCCAGGTAGGGCCTCTGCTCCCAAGGCTTTCAGGAGGTCCCCACCACAGCCCCTAGGGGCTGACTTCCAGGAACACCCTGAAAGGTGCCATTAAGCTCAGTTAAGATCTCTGCAGCCGCCCTTACCCGGCCTCCCCATGGAGCCCTACAGGCTGGGTCCGTCAGGAGGTGGCAGGCAGCCAGCTTACCTGGCAAGGCCAGCAGAGCCAGCCCCCAAAGCCAGAGGCCTGCCATGCTCCTGGTGGTGGGTTCCTGCAGCCCCCCCAGGCACAAGGACTAACCCTCATGGGATGAAACAGCCTGTTGGCAGGTCTTGGCCCACCGCCCCCATTAAATAGCTTTTCCAGCTCCCACCTGCAGCCCCTCCTCCATCTAAGGCCCCGCCTAGGCACCTCCAGCTGCAGCCCCTCCAACTACAGCCACCTTCACCTGTGGCCCTCCCAATAGCTTCCCCCTGCAGCCCCTCCCACTCCTACCTGTGGCCCCCACCACCAGCCCAGGCCTGAGCCTCTGGACCCTGGCCCAAGGCCTGATGGCTGAAGGGGATGAAGAGGCCTGGACATAGACTTGGTGGACTTGGGAGAGTGGCTCCCCAGAGATCCTCTGCCGCCAGCAGAGGGCAGAGAAATGCTGTGGGAAGGAGCTCCCCCGGGCACAGTGGAGGATCCAGTGCTGGAAGGTCCTCCTCCTGCAGCTCCCGGGCCCCTTTCCTGTCCCACCCTGGGCTCAGACATGGAAAAGCCACCTGAGTCCCCAAGGTACCCCAGTGTATCTGTGGATGGAGGGAAAGGCCTCAGAGGCCTTATAAGTTTTGTTTTGTTGTTTTTTTAATCACGTAGAAAAGTGCACAATTCTAAGTGCAGGCTCTATGGACCAGCACACACCAAACACCACATCACCAGCACCCAGAGAAGCCTGCATGCGGGAGGAAGGAAACTTCTAGGTACTCAGACCCTCATATGGACCCACAGCAGTCCTGCACTACCAGCCAGTGTTGCTATGTCACAGATTCAGAAAGTTCCTTACCTATCTTCCTCCTTGTCATCACTAGCCAGGTCACCCAGGGACCCCATCTGGATTGAAATCCTGCAACAAGTCAGCCCTGGTCAGGAACTGGTGGCACTCGGAACCACACTGATGCCCCATGAAGGAAGTGACAGGCCTGAGGAGCCTGGCTTGGTCCACTAGGGCTTCTCACATTCCCACTCTGCCTGGAGTCCAGCGATTCTCAAGACAGAATGGGGATCCCAGGGAAGAGGAGAGAAGGCACCGCCCTGCTGCCCGGCAGGGTGCTGACAGCTGCCCTCGCCCGGGATGGGTATGCTGACCGGTTTGTTGTGATCATCATTCACACTGAATCCATGTGGCAAAGCCCCGTGTTGTACACCTATAACAAATGTTGTCAATTACACCTCGATACTATTGGGGGAAAATAACATTAAAAAAATGCATGGAGCTGACCGCTTCACCTGAGTGCTCAGAAAAAGAAAAGAAGAATCACCCTGTTCGGGCAGAGAAACAGATTCTTGTAAGAAATGCAGCTCACCTGCAGGACATTCTGACAAATGAACTAAGCCAGTCACAACAAAACTGCAAGATCCACTTATTGATGGACCTAGAGTTGTCAAATCCATAGGCAGAAGTTGAAGAGGGGCCACCTGGGGCTGGGGTTGGGGACTTAGTGTGCAATCTGCAGATTTTCTGTTTTGCAAGATGGGAAGTTCTAGAGGGCTGCACACGGCACTGTCTGCACCCAACAACTACTCGACTCTTAAAAGGGTAATAATCGGTGGGATGACTTGGACATCATTACCCCAAGTACATGTATGAAAACATGAGTGGTGAAAACTCTACTTTGTGTTCAGTCAGAGACATGAAAAATTGTGTAATATGAATTGAATTGCATTCTGCTGTCATATATTGCTAATTAGAATAAATAAAGGTTAAAAATGGTAATAATGGTACACTGTTGTTTTTATCACCACTATTAAAAATAAGCCAGGTGCTGTGGCACCCACCTGTCATTTCAGCATCTCAGGAGGCTGAGGCAAGAAGATCGAAAGTTCAAAGCCAGCCTCAGCAACTTAACAAGGCCCTAAACAACTCAACAAGACCCCGTGTCTAAATAAAATACCAAAAAGGGCTGGGGATGTGGTTCAGTGGTTAAGTAGCCCTGAATTCAGCACAAAAAAAATAAGAATAAAAAACTGGGTCCCTAACTATTGAACACAATGCCCTCCCAAAAAAAACCAGGCACTCAGAATGATGGAAGACAGTTTTGGGGGGAAGGGGCAGAGAGGTTGAGTGAGTCCGGGAGGACAAAATGGAGTGGGCTGGGTGACACTTTGAGAGGCTTGAAGTGTCATGGTGAGGCTCCCGCATGGCCACCCCCTTGGGCTCAGCACTCCTGCTCCCTGGCAGATCACAGCACCGGCCCCAGCCTCAGCACGTACCCCTCTGCTTCTGGCTTGGGATGGTTCCCTGTTTCAGGTGTCCACAGACGCTATGTGCTGTGCTGGGCACTCACCTGATGTTCAGTGAGGACACGCTAGTGGGGTGGGTATGAAAGCTACTAATCCCTAGTGATATGTCCCCTCATCACACCCCGGGCCACATCTCTTCTGGGGACAAGAATGGCTCTGAAACAGGAGTTCCTATGAACCCCGGCCCGGGTGAGGCCTGGGGGCACAGCCCAGCCTGGACAAGCCCAGGTGAGGCCTGGGCCTGGCCAGGGCGGAGGGGGGGGGTGCGGTGAGAGTTGAGAGACTGCTTCTTCCTTCCAAGCCTTCCCCAAGAATGAACTTGAGACTAGACACTCGGGGAGGTTTTTTTTTTTTTTTTTTTTAAACAAAACAATATTTTATTGACACATCCACAATGTTCTGTATAAATATAAAGTGCTAAGTTTCCAACCCCCGCCCACAGGGCTGGGAGGAAGTGGGGGGAGGGAGCCTTAAATGTCAGTTGAACACAAATAATTTTCCAGCACCAACATGGGCGGGCAAGAAACGCTCACGTATGCGTAAGCAAGAGTTCAGAGGTCTGCAACATGACACACGCCTCACTTTCCAAGTTCCTAGCTCCCCTAGGAGCTTGGCTCGGGCTCCAGGCCCCAGAGCGGACACCCCTAGACAGGGCTCCCTGTTGTCACAGCTTGTTCCTTAGGGCTCTCAGGCTGCCAAAGGTTTCAACATGGTGAAGGGACCAGAGAGTCCATGAATGTAGAGTCCAGTCGTTTCTACCACAGGAGTGGAGGGGAGAGCAGATGTGCCTCTGCTCTGTCCCCCCTAAGGGCCAGCCCTTGAACTCCCAGCAGAAGAGCACCAGGTGGGAAGGCCAGTCCCCCAGGGGGTGCAACAGGCCTTCAAAGACGAGGGGGATGCTCTAGGCCATCGGGAGCCCACCTGTCCCTGCTCGGCTCCTCCTAGAAATCGTGAGGGCCAACGATTGTGGTAGGGAGGCAGGCAGAGGGTCCCTGCCTCAGTGACACAGCACCTGAGTCTCAAACTGCAGCAACTGCCCCATGAAACTGAAGTTGGGGGAGATGACTCCGCGGCGTTGCTTAACAAAGTCGAAGGCCTCATCCAGCCGCACCCGGCGGCTCTGTATCAGGTACGCCAGGCAGATGGTGGCAGATCGGGAAATGCCCGCTTGGCAGTGGACCAGCACCCGGCCTCCGCTGTTCTTCACCAGGTCTGCAAAGGAGATGAGGACGGGAGTCAGCTCGGAAGATGCCCAGGCGAGAAGGCGGCGCCCTCAATCTCCTCCCCTGAGGTTCCTCTTACCGATGAAGCCTATGGCCTCCTGGAACCAGGCACTGATGTCCACCATCTGGTTGTCCTCCACCGGGATGCTCTTGTAGAGGAAAAGGCCCTCAAAGTGGTTGGGGCAGCTGGCAGAGACGTTGAGGACGGCTGTGATGCCACAGGCCTGCAGCCCTTGTAGGTCAGAGGAGTGGCTGCAGCTGCCCAGGTACAGGTAGGGCAAGATCTCCACCGGTCCACCCTGGAGGAGAGAGGGGGTGGTGAGACCTCCTCAGCCTTAGAGGACAGTGTGAGCCAGACAGGGCAGAGACACAGACTAGCCCCAGACAAGAGGAGCCCTCGGCCAGACCCTGACCGGAGACACATGTCAGGAATGTGAGAAGGACACAAGGGGACACCATACAGATACACACTCACAAATTCGCCCACCCACCTCATTCCCCAAAGTACCCGTGAGAACATAACCCATGCCCTCTGCATGTGGCCACACACACACACACACACACACACACAGAGAGGCAGACTCCTCGCCCTCCCCAGAGGCTAGCCAGGGGAGGGAGGGCAGTGACAAGAAGCCCTGATCTCAGCTCACCTGGTCATAGATGGGAACCCTGAGGTCGGAGCTACTGGTTTCGGTGGCTGTGGGGGCCAGCGCCGGGGCAGGGGATTCAGAGCACAGATCGGGACAGCAGGACTGGAAGCTGTCGAAGCCTCCTGCAGGAAGAGCGCGGGCAGGTTAGCCAGGAGGGCCGGGCAGGGCTGGCCAGGGCCGGGCGCGGGCAGGCGGGCGGGCTCGGGTCTCACCTCGCAGGAAGCACACGGCGGTGGCCCCGGCGCGGGTCTCGTGTAGCAGCGCCGAGAGCAGCAGGTGCGCGGGGCCATCGGGCCGGAGTTCTGCCACCGAGGCGCTGCCTTCGTCCAGCACCACCGCGCGCGCCAGTTCCCCGCGGGCCAGGCGCGCCAGCAGCGCGCGATCGGGCAGCAGGCAGGCGAGGGCGGCAGCGGGCGGGCCGCGCGCTCGGCGCCGCAGCAGCGCGTTCCAGGGCACAGGCCGCGCGGCGCGCACGTGTCGCCGGCAGAAAGCTAGGAAGGGGCGGCAATCGAGCAGCAGTGTGCGCTCGGCCTCCCGCGGCTCCCGCAGCAGCGCCCCCAGCGCCGCGCACTCCAGCTCCCGCGCCGCCTCCAGCCCCATGCCGAGCCGCTGCCCTTCGCCTCTGCCTCTCTCGCCTGTCGCTCGTCTTCCGGGCTCCGCGGCGCTCGCTCAGCCCGATCTATCGCCTCTGGGCACTCGCTGCCGCGCCCCGGCTTAAGTACTGGGGGGCCGGGCTCCCGGGTCACCATACAAGGGCAGAGCAGGAAGGCGCCGGCGCCGCCCCCGCGGCCTCACGTGGGGCGCAGGCCGGGCGGCCCGGTGCCCCCGGAGCGGGCTGGGGAGGGGAGCCCCAGGGGAGGAAACCGGGGCCAGCTCCTAAGGCGAGGGTGTTCGCAGGAGTCTTGGGGTCCGAACGCGCCCCTCCCGGATCTTTCCACCCCAGCTCGGAAGATTGCTCCCGCCCTTTGACCGGCTTTAAGCCTTTCAGCCCTTGGGAACTCAGCTTCTCAGATGATGCCCTTCTGGCCATTGGGGTTCCTTGGTCCCTGATGCCCTTCTGGCCATTGGGGTCCCTGGTCCCTGTTTCCTCTGCCTTTTCCTTTTCTCCCTCTGGGTTTTCTTCCTAGGAGTTTGTTAGAACAAAAATCTGCCGCAGATGATCCTACAAGGGAGAATGGGGCGCCCCTACTGGGAGACCTTAGGCAGGAGGGTCTTTCTCTCCCCTGCCCCTCTTACCCCCCACCCCAATTGCTTAGATGAGACCAATCTGCTTCTTGAGGCAGGTTGGTGGCCAGGCTAGCCAGAACATAGTCTCTTGACTCCAAATCCCTGGACTTTGGCATAGTGGGGGTGAGCTTGCTTTCAGGGGGGAAAGCAGGGGCCACTAATGAGTTTCCAGTTATGAGTGAGACAGAGCTTCTTCCCCCGGGGCCCAGGGAAACCCCCAGGGGCCAAGAGAAAAGCATTTCCCCGTGTCACAGGCTGGCTCTGAAGGGGAACTCTGCTGACGCTGCTGGGCTCTCCCTGGGCCTGGCCTGGCGGGAATTTCAAGGGGAAGAAGGAGAACCACTGACAGAGCCTGCCTCCTCCACAGCCCCCAGCCCATCAGCATGACACCCTCTCCCCAGATGGCAGGGGCCTGGGACCTTTGGCAGGAACACTCCAGCAATCAGAATGCAGAACCGGGTGATGGCACCCCTTCTGCCCTCCCCCACCCCAGACGTCAGCGGATGTGGTGAGGCCAGGTGTGAAGGAGGATCTGAGCCCTGGGCTGGGGGCAAGAAATGCTGGTGGGTGGCTGAACTCTGAAGCAGAGGAGTTCAGGTAGGTGGGGACAGTGTGGAGCTGGAGCTGATCCAACCAGCCACCAGCTGCGTGGGATTTTAGAGCCCAATCCCCAGGTGCCTTTTATAAGACCCTTGCAGTTCCCCTGCAGGCCCCTATCTCCCCATTTTTCTTGGAGGGCTACATCTAGGACTGTGTGGGCCCCCAGTCCCCTACGGGATTCCTCACCATGGTGTGTTGATGTGTCCCTGTGTCGGAGCATAATTTATGTGCAGTTCCTATGTGTTGAGATGGAGCTTGAAACGTGTAGGTGCTGGGGGGCACCAGGCATGCAGGGGAGAGAAGCGCGGAGTTGCCAAGGATTCCTGGGCTACCCGCCCTCTCGCGCCTCAGCATCCCCCTCCGTAAGATGGGAGCGCACAGCAAACCAGCCTTTCTCCCACAGGAGCTCCAAGGCTGTGGGCGATGCGGCCAAGGCCCAGCGCCTCCCGGCCGGGCCAATCTGGAGGCTGATGCAGCAGAGCCCACAGCAGAGCCAGGGAGTCTGGGCCACAGATGCCAGTGGCTGATAGGGGCACTTATCCTGGCCATCGGCCAGCCAAATGACTTAATGCCCGCTTCCAGGGCAAATTACAGAGCGTGCAGGGGGAGCGTCAGGTCCAGTCTTGCTGACCTATGGGGCCCGCGTCACCTGCCCTGCTGGAAGCCTCAGCCTTCCAGCTCTGTGGCAGGGAGCAGGGGGCCTGCCAGCTGGGATCCCTGACACAGGAGTGAAATCCACTCAGCCTGCTGGAGGCTCCAGAGCCTACTCCCACGCGGGCTGCGCCTCTTACCTCCCCGGGACTGGCGTGTCCCTTGCAGGGTGGGAGGGCATTGAAGAAGGCGATTTGCACCAATGGCACAGTCCCTGGGAGCCTGCCCAGGGCTGCGTCTATGAACTGTCTTTGAGACGGTCCCTCCTTCAGCTCTGGAACGCAGGCTCAGGAGGCCTGATCAGCCATAGAGGAGGGGCTCCCCTTGGCCCTCCTTGCCTGTTCGCACTTCCCACCCCAACACCTGGGTGAAAGCCCAAGGCTGGGGTAGAAGAGCCCTCGTCTCTTCCCACTTCTCTAACTAAAGATCTCCTGACCCTTGAGCAGGAGGTCCGCTCCCCGCCTCCAGGACCCCTATCACTTGGAGTTGACCCTTGGGAGCCCAGCAGAGAAGAGGCAGGGTCTGGGCACATGGTGGACAGTGGGAGGGGTTAGACTGGGAGCCCCACAGGCTGCTGTTCTAGAGGGAGGATCCCACTCCTCATCCCCAGACGGTGAGGGGACCACCGCATGAGGTGGGGTGCCACACTCAATTTCTTCTGGTTTTGTTGGGTTTTTCCCAGCCTGACTGTCACAGAGCATCGCTACCAAGTAAGTTTGAGGCGCCACTTTTTTTTTCTTTTAAATTAAAAACCTGTGAGACACAGCTGGTCACTATGGTGGACGCCTGGTAATCCCAGAGACTCGGGAGGCTGAGGCAGGAGGATTGCAAGTTCAAGACCAGCCTCAGCAACTTAGCAAGACCCTGTCTCAACCTAAAAATTCAAAAAGCTTATAAGTAAATAAAATTTAGATTCCTCTGAAAAAGAAAGAAAGAAAGAAAAGAAAAGAAACCTGCGAGAGTCAACTGGACCGTGTGATGACACTTTGTGATATCCTTTTGGTGACTGTCTTTTGAGGATGCTTCATCGTCGCCCACCTCCTGCCTTTTGGATTCCCGGTATGCCCACCCAGCCCCACGCAAAGAGGGTTTCCCTTCCACAGTGGTGACGCTGCGAGTTCCCTGCTGATGTGGCCCGGATGTTTCCTTCCTGCTCCTTCCTAACGCACCCCAAGCAGAGGCCAGGATGTGCGTGGCTTGGCCGAGGTGCCCAGGCAGAGCCGCCAAAAGTGAGAGGCAGGCGCCAGCCCCTCCTGAGGAGGGATCAGGCCTCAGACGAGGATGCCAGCTCGGTGGCCACCCCCACAGGCTCCTGCCAGGCAGGGGCCCAGAGTCCCTGTGCCCTGCTCCAGTGATGGCCTAGCCCAGCACATGAGGGGGACACAGAGGGTCACCAGCCTCCTCCTGGGGAAGGTATAGAGAAAGCCTCCAAGGCTGGCTCAGAAGTGGACCTGCAGTGGCTGAGGCTGCTGTCACATGTGGCAGCCCTGCTGGGGACGAGCCCTGCACCTCCCCACCCACCATGCAAATGCCGGGAGGGGACCTCAGCACTTCCTGTCCTGGCACAGCCACATCACTCATGCCCGTCTGCATTTATTCATTGACTTGGGCCTTCTTTCCAAACCTGGCACAGCACAGTGGTGCACACCTGTAATCCCAGCAGCTCCGGGAGGCTGAGGCAAGAGGATCGAAAGTTCAAGGCCAGCCTCAGCAACTTTGTGGAGCCCTGTCTCAAAAAGGTGTGGGGATGTGGCTCAGGAAGAGTGCCCCTGTGTTCAGACCCCAGACAGGAAAAAAAAAATTGTATTCCAAGTCCTTTACACCCTGGGGTCTGTTCCGAATGCTGGAGATGCAGGAGTAAGTCCCAAACCACCGCCTCTGGGGAGCTGAGCTCATCGTTTCCATCATATTTACTTTTGTGATTATGTTGTGTCCTGGCGAGTGATAGTAGTCATCCACTGAGAGTAATGATACCTTTTCCTTTTAAAATAAATTTTAGGTTTGTAAAAACTGAGTTGACTTCAGGAAGACCATTAGGGAATAATAACACAGAAGGTTCTGGAACACCTCGACAGGCTCAGATGCCGGCAGGAGACACCATGTCGGAGCACCCTGCCCAGGACGGGCCCTGCCACTCCTCCTGCCCTGGCATGGAGCAGCTCTGCGGTTGGGCAGGGTCTGCTGCTCCCTCCCACGGTGGTCTCCTCTAAAGACAGGAACATGAGGCACCCAACGAGGAGGAAGCTGTGGCCGGGAAGGGACCCCGTAGGACAATCCCATTGGCAGGTGGCAAAGGGTCTTTAAGCTGCAAAGGAGCCAGAGATTGCTCCCTTCCACCTTAGGTAGCCACTGACCCATGCTGGGCCCTCTGACACTCCACTGAGGACCTGCGACAGCTACAGTGACAGTCACGGTGGCATGAAGAGGACAGCCAAGGTTCCTGCCCCCTGGGATGACCTTGCAATGGGAGCAGAGACCAGACAAAAAATAAATAAATGAGATCATGCCAGAGAGCGGCATCCCAGGGAGAAAGGCCATGGCTGGAGAGGGGACATGGGACACCCTCGCCTTCTGCTGTAACTTGCAGGGTGGGGAAGGGCCAGCCCGGGAGGAGGCAGGCAGGAGAGGTCCCCGTGGTGGAACACAGGACACAGCTCGGGTGGCTGGGTGAGAGTGAGCCTGCTGCAAGAACCCTCAGGTGCTGCTGCGTGGTTCAGGGACAGGGGACAGTGGCTTGGGCCAGAGGGCAAAAGAAAATGGAGGAGGGATCCAGGATCAGCAGGACTGTGGACAGCCTGGAGGGAGTCACGGTGAGAGAGGAGAGGGGAGGGGTGCAGTTCCCCATGAAGGATGGGGCCTGACCCTCCTGCCCCACCTCCTGGCCCGGCCTTGTGGCTCTGCTGTGCTCCCCCAGCCCCCACTGGGACTTGCAGGATCTGGGAGGGGCTCCCTCAGCACGGAGCAGAGGGCCAAGGCCAAGGTGGCCCCCAGCTCCAGCCTGAGAAGGCTACAGGCGGAGGCTTGGGATTAGAAGCACAGATGGCCGGGGGTGGACGCTGAGGAGAGGATCAGGGTGGATTATGGTCCAAACCGGATTAGGCTTCCTTGAAGATGACAGCTCCCAAAAAAGCCACCGCAGCTCCCAGAGTTGTCCCTGGACACCCAGAGAGAGTCACATGGGCACACGCACACCCAGGAGCGTGCACA